CAAAATATTTTTCATAAAAATTATAAATTTTTATTTTGTAATAATAATCTTATTACATAGTAGGTTTTGTAAAGAAAAAAAATTTTCGTTTTCCTGCTATTCTAATACTTATTATGGTATTTTTCTTTAATTTTGCCAATTTGACTGAACATACATTTTTTTACATATTAAAACTGTAAGTTTTATAAAAAAGGTAAAAACTGATGAAACCACATTAAAATATGCCACAAGTTAAAGAACAAGCCTCAAAATAATTCTTCTTCTTCCTTAAAGATATTTTCAACTGTTTTTGTATTGTACACAGGTAGAGCTATGTGGAGGCAAACTGACATTTAAACATATTTAGAACTTGAACATGTATGTGTGTATAGATTTTTAACAAACACAGCGTTAAGTGGCTTATTAATAATGCCACAAAATTGTTTAAAAGTTAACAACAACTCTGTTGAATACAGCATGTATTTCTTTCATACTTTATTTTTTCTTTTTTATTTATAGAGTGTGTTTGGGTGTGTTCAACAAAAGTTTGTGGTATGAATGGGGTGAATGGGAAAGTACATATTTTATAGTATTTGTTTATACTTGTAGCAAGTAACAAAGCATGTTGTAGGAGTAAGTATGAAAATTAAAACCTTAAACAAGAAAAAGTTGCAAAAAGATGACAGCTTAGACAACAAGTACATATTTACAACAATAGCAACAAAGTTTAGCACAAAAGAGCAGGTTCACATAAAATATACTATAATAAAGGGGATCGAGTTTTACTGGGGCACACAAATGTTAAAGTTGAATGCATCACATGGAATAATAGGAGTAGGAACCTTCATTTTGCTTTCAGTTTCCATTTTTTAAAGTGGTGCATATGTTACTAGTATAAGTAATAATTGTTGATGATAGATGATATTATTTATAAACAATAATCTGCTCCTCATTATTTACTCTTAAATCGTTAACAATTTTAATTTAAAGTCATTTCTATGAAACTATGTTTTTTAAAATTTATCAATTACGCCTCTGATTAGTTTCTTACATTGTATGGCAGCGTGGTCTACTACGTGCAACAAAACAATCGGAGTGGGTGTAACCGATTTTCTATATATACATACATATATACAAAAATGCTAATGTTTCTATGAGTATTCGGCATAAACAACATACAACACCTGCTATTGCTACTTCTTTACTCGTGTAGCATAAACTAAACAATTCGAAAAACAGAAAAAAGTTTTAAAACATCACAAACATTTAACCACAGACTTTACTTTCGAACAATTCAAAGAGAAGTCTGTCTTTACGTTAACAACTCAAAAAACACAAAGAACAAAATTGTTCATAAAATGTTTATTTTGCACAAAAAGTCTATGAACGACAGCGTAATATTCAAGTGGAAAAATAGCAGGAAAATATAACAATCAATATGTTGCATAAAGTCGTTGGAGAAATTATGAAAATGTTTATGCTTCAACACAATCTAGCAGCAGTCAATTTTTAAAAGCGTTAAAGTTATTTGTATTAATTTTTTCAGTGTTTCGAATTAGTAAGTAGTTGTTATAATTTCAAATTTTGAAGTTAGAAAGTACATACATATTTGCAGGTTTATTTAAATGAAAACATATTGAAGTACACAAATTTGTTACTTAAATATTATTTATTTGTGTAACATCTGCTTGACTGTTTTACTGCCTTAACAAACATGGTTTTGAAACTTTTCATTATGGTTGATTGTTCAGTTTATTATTTGGAAGACGATTAAAATCCCTTCCTCATTTTCCACGAAAACAAGTTAAAGTTTAAGATAACCATGACGAAACAGTTTAACGAGAAAAGTCTTAAAATAAGTTTATACAATTTTTTAAAGTAGTACAATTAATGATGAGTATTCTAAAATTTTATAATTTAAAGCTAAAATAATAAATTATCAACTATTTTTTAACATCAAGTTAAATTATGTCTGTTCCCGTACTTGTCAGTTTTGTAGGTACGGGTACAGACATATTTTTGATTTCCTAAATTTATAAAATCGTATAAATTAATAAATTTAAAACTTTAAAAATATATAAAACATTTTCTTATATTAATTTTGAGCTAAAATTAGTTTAAGAAACACGTACTACAGATTTTTTATAAGAAAGGCAAATTTTAAATGATAAAATGTTTTTTTTTTTTATTTTACTATTTAATTTTACAAATATTGTATTGCTTGAAGAATCTTTTTATATGCAAGTTTATTGTTCTAGTAAAATATTTCTATATTAAAAATCATGACTCTCTAAACAAGAGTAAAGCTCCGATATTTGGTTTTTTCTTCTAGTTATATTTTTATCTGTAAACAATTTTCTTTCCTTTAAAATTGAGTTCGTGTTCTTTTGCGTCTACAAGATTTAAAATAATAACAAAAGCTGGAGAGCTGAACAAAAAACCCAAGCAACCATAAAATTGCTATAGTTTTCCATGTGATTTTTGTTGTTGTACGCGAAATACCATCTGTACTTACTTTTGTGTAGATGAGTTTAAGTATTGGTAAGGAACGAGTAAAAGGAAAAAAAAAATTAAATGAAAGGATAAACAGTATTTATTTAAAAATATGTATAGAATTATACTCAAATGCATAAATATTTACATATTTGAAATTTTGTGCAGTCGCTTTAATAATTATAAGTAAACTTTTCCAAATTTACTGTTTTCGAATGGGTACTTTCACTAATAATATTGAGTGAGAAATGCAAATTATTGAAAAATATTAAAATGTTATTTTCATAAGAATTTTTGAAAACAAGTATAAACCACGTACTGCATTGAAAACAATCTAACATCGGAAAGTATTGAGTTAAAAAGCTAGTAGCTTCTCCCGCCTATACCTCAGACCATTTAAAAGCCAGATAATATAGACGGACGTGCATGGTTAGATCGATTAATAAACCGATAAGCTTACAAATGGTCATCACTGAACCCATAATATTTTGAATATTTCCTTAAGAATAACAATGTTTCACACTTTCTGTAAGTGGGTGTAACTTTCATATCTATACAAATATATAAAAATTAATGTGAAGTCTATAGCCGCCGTTTAGGTTAAACCGATTTTCTTGAAATTTTCGCAGTGTGTTCCTGTATGCCTGGACGGAAAAGAAGGCTACTTTTTATTTTGAAATTTCAAGTAGGTGAGGTTCCACGCCTACTTACTAAATAACTATTAAAAGTCGTATATCTTGGAAACTGGCACAATCAAATTCCTCAACCTGTGACATATATGTAGGAATATTTTTGGGCAAAATGGACGGAATGGCTATAGTGGGCGTGGCACCTTCCATTAAGAAAATATTAAATCAGTATATCTCAGAAAATATAACAGTCAGAGTCCTCAAACTCTTTCGGAGCCACTTAAGTCTCAATATGATTATTTAAGATAAAGCAGGGGGCGTGGCACCTCCCATATTAATTAAATACAAAAGTTCGATTATCTTGAAAACTATTACAGTTAAAATCTTCAAATTTTACACAAAGAACTTTAACATCCATGTAAACATTTTGGGTAATAAATTGGCTACTATGGGGGGAGCGGCACCACCCATATGAATTAAATACAAAACATTTTTTGTCTGGCAAACTAATAGAACTACATTCTTAAAATTTTGCACTAAGGACTTTCATTTTTATCTGAACATTTTGGGGGAAAGAAGCGGACTTTTATCAGGGGGTGGCTTGGAACCCCCATAGGAATTAAATGTAAACATTTTTATATGTAAAACTTTGACATTCATGTGAACATTTAGAGAAAAATGGGCGGACTTTCAATGTGGGATTGGCCCCTCCCATAGGAATACACTACAATATTTTTCACATTTTTCATAGCTTATATTAAAATCCTTATTAGCATTCGGAAAAATGCGAACTTGAAATAATTTTTGTGGTATCTCCCATGAGTAAGTGGGTTTTTTTTTTTAATATTGCTTTTAGGGTAGCAAAGCACACTGGGTATAGCTAGTTTAATTATAAAATGTAATGTTACAGAAAAAGTTTTCCTGTAAATAACAGTTTCACTGTAGTAGTTTTGTATTTCCTGAAATAACTACATACATAGATTTTTCCTTCAATTTTTTGCACACTGAATTTGATGTTGAGTGTGCATTGTGTCCTTTGCGTTATTTGCTTAAGTCAATACTATTACGCGCGTATGTAAATGAACACACACGAAAAAAAAGTAGAGCAACAAGAGTTGTACAAAATAATAATAAAAAGGAAGTAAAAAAGCAACAATAACGAAGAAGATGAAAGAAATCCAGTATTAAAAAATACGGAAAAGTATTTTTTAGAGTATAACAGTGGAAAGTATACAGTAGAGATTTCTACAGTATTTTTCCTTATACATATGTACATAAATTTAAAAAATACTCATACATGGAGAAAAAATCTCTATTTATATTGAAGTTTAAACCTATACATTTGCATGCATATTCATACAAATAACAAAGTATTTTGTATGTATGTATGTAAAATCTGTAAGAGTTTATAACTACAAACGAGTGACTATGTATGTAAATATGTATTGTATAAGATGTATACATAAATATTACATACTTACATATGTATGTATACAGGACTGTATGGATGTTTATGTAAATACTTACAATATTAGTGATTCATAGTTAAATCCTTTAAGATCTCACATGAGTCCCTAAAGATTTACCATGATCTGTGTGTGCTGTGGTAGTCATATAAATATATTTTTATATATATATGAATATGTGTATATGCATGTAAATATACATTCATATGTATGTATTTTATAGTTAAGTAGTTGAGTACATACGATAAGGTCCTTTGTGCATTTAAATATATTTCTAAGTATTTGTATAAAATATTTATTTTTGTTAGTGTAAAAATCTATTAAACTTTCATTTTATACTTTTTTTGAAATTTTTTTAAAATTTTAATTTATATTCATTATTTAATTTTTTTTCCAGAAAATAAATATTGTATATTTTTCATTTTACTTTCAGACTATGTGTTTTTAAGAGTGAAATTCGTTACATTTTATATGGAACTTATTTTCAATTTCATTTAAAAATATATTATTAATCACAATGTGGAATTCGAGGAATGTAATAATTCAAGTAGCAGTAGTTGTTCTATTGTTTACCATCATACCGGGTAAGTTTAAAGCAAATATTTATATTTTTAATTATTAAGAGCTTGTATTTAAATTTAATATTTAAATTTTTTCATTAATGTAATTTACAGTTATTTAAAAATCTGTTCATAATATAAAAAGTACTTTTTAAATAAAAAACTCAATAATGATTTTAATAACTCTAATCATTATGAATTAAAGCCTTTAAATTTGAAACTAATTACAAAATTTTAATATTTAAAAATATTGTATATGTATTAGTTTATACCTTTTTCGACAAATCAATAATTTTTTATTTTTCATATAAAACCTCAAAGCCATTGTGGTACTTTTTATTTCTTTTAGTTTCTAAAGTTGTTAATAATATCATTTTGAGGTTAATAAACTTTTAATGTTGGCATTTCACATTTTATTGAAATCCCACAGGAACATTAAAAGCTAAAGACACATTCTTATACAATTGAACAAACTCACAAGAAGAAAAACGTAGAAAAAGTTTTTCTGTTATTTGTGTCATCAAATTGATGATTGCAAAGGAAGAGAAGTTAGCAAACCTATTATTTATTCTCAACATAAAGAAACTGATTCAGAGAAAAAAGAATATATTTAACTTCTTATTCATTTTTTTGTGTTGAAACATAGTAAAAATCAAATTAGCGCCATATCAAATGTGTTAATGTATGGTTTATGGATTTAATATAACTGGTCTGGTATGACTAATACAATAAAGAAAAAATTGCGAACTCTGACTAATATTTCTTTGTGTTCGAGTGGAAACATTCATTTTTCTTACACATAAATGTCAATTCAATGACTTTTTGACAGCAGACTTTCAATCAGACCAACCATCACCGTAAAGCTATGTATTTCAATAGAAATTTTGCCAACAAAACAGCAATGACGCCACATTAAAAATAGTTTTCTATTTTTTATGTGATTTGTTTTTCCATCATGTTCTTTTTTCTATTGTTGAGAAATAATCATTTTACAAATGTTTTCTAGATTTCCCTAATAGCATTTTTACAAATCAGTTTTTTTTGTTGATGTTGCTTGGCTTTTATATGAATTTAATATAATTTTGACTTTTGATAGGTGGCAGGGGGAAATTTTTATATAATTTTCTGCGTATTCATCATAATTTTTATCATCAGCAAATTTCACTATATGAATAAGTACATTCATTTATTCATATTCACAAACGTTTACAGTTCTCTGTTTTTTGCTTCTTTAACTTTCTCTGGGAATACTGCAGGAAATGTATTTATATACTTATACACATATTCTTATACATATGTATATAACACTCGTACATGCACATGTTTAATAATATATTTATGTGACAAATATAGCAGGGTTGGAAAATAATGATTGAAAAATCAAAATACATTATTTTTTCTGACATACAACTCTTCTCAATTTTTTCTTAATTGACAGCAAGAAATCCATTTTGAAGTTTTTTGAAGCCAATATTTGGCCATCCTTATTAATGTTTTAAAGTTCAAAACAAGGAGTAGCAATCATGTAGTCCCACCTCTGATATACATATGTACATAATCTCACACTCATTACACATATTTATGTACATATATTCTTCTTATGTCATTTTAGCATTTAAACAAAAATTCATCTTTTCTTCCATCATGTGTAATAAACAAACATCCATGATTAATGTGGCAAAAATTATTCTCTTGTGTAATCGTTTGTGTGTGTATTTAGTAAAGTTTGCAACTGTGTCTGTGTGTTTTCTTTCCCTCCTTAAATAACAAATTTCTGTGTTCTGTATAGTAAACGTCTGTATGTGTGTAACTATTAATATATTTGTTTCCTTTACTACCACAATTGAAAAACGTGATTAAACAGTTTCTGGGAAATGTCCTTTTTGTTATGTTTTCCATGTTTCAGTGTTAAAAGTTTTAGTTTTATTTTAGTTTTAGTCTATTTGCCATTTATTAGTATATGCTCATTTTATTTTTGTTTTAGTTCAAAGTTAAACATTTGCTTAAACAATTTTATTTTGTACTTTACCATTATTATTTGAGTTGAAAAAAGAACACATTAATTAGTTTGTTGAATAGTTAGTTTATGTATGTGTATGTAAAAATCAAATATGAAATTAACATAACTACCCAGCAGTTCGGTCAGACAGCCCTGAACTCCCTATTTAACCTACCACATAGGGTTACACCTAGCCGTCAACTGTCCAGGTGACTAGCTATTTTAACATGTGCTTGTCCTACGAGGAAATCAGTCGTCACCCAGTAGGTTACGATGAGGTAGGGTTTTTATGTTGAACTACTAAAGTTAGTTTCTGCAAGTAATAAAAAAGTGTTCATATGGAGATATTATGTTTAGTCCTAAGTTAAAATTCAAACCCAGATATTTTATTTTAAAGCTTTAGATTTCAGTCTCAGCTTAAATATATTGAAGTATTGCCAACCAAACAAGCTATTCATAGTCAATCTACAAAACTCAACTTCCTACAGGGTATTTCATACTAAAAAATGTTTCTCTTCAAATTTAAAGATATTTTTCAGTTCACTTATATGCATGTTTTTTAAAAATTTACAACTTTATTTGAAATTTGAAACCTCATTAAACACTTCATTTTCTGATTCAGCATTTTTCATTCATTTTCATGCACATTGTATGCTCTTCAAAAATAATTTTCTGTTTCACTTTTTTAATTAGTAAAATTTTTGTTGGTTGTGGTTGGAAAAATAATTTTTTATTTTCTTTTCAGTTTTATACGCATAGAAAAATATCAATTCATAATTTAAAATTCAACATTGAATATCTACTTCATAGAATTCAATTTTAAAAGATATTTTAAGTATTATTTTGTTTAATGATTTGTTCACTTTTTGTTTAACAATTTGCTCGTTTGCCAATATTTAGTTAAAATTTACATGATTATTTCTTTAAAACTTTGATTATAAGTGCATAAAAGAAGAAAGAGGTAATGGGAAACCAGTTGTTTGGTTTCTTTAAAGTTAAAGGTTTCTTGGTTTCTTTAAAGTTAAAGGTTTAAAGTAAAGGTTTAAAGTTTGGGTTCTTTAAAGTTAAAGTTTATGATTTATGAATTTGACTGCCTAAAACAATAAATTCGAATAATAATTAAAAAGTTCAAAATAAATGCCTCTTATTAGGGTAATTAGATAATTTTAAGCTGTTTGTTTGCAACAAACGTAATTGGTTGCAAACTTAACAAATACGAAGTTGAATACATTAATTCACAGACAAATTATACTTGTTTGGAATTAAAAACGAAAACCTTCAAACATTTTTTAAAATGTATAGGAATTTAAGAAAACAAAAATTCTATTGTGCATTTTACATATTTGTTAATGTAAACAAAATATACACATACATATGCATATTTGTATAAAATATTTAACAAAGTGTTATTTTTTTATTTCCAAATCTGTAGCTTGGGGCAAAAAATTGCATTAATAAAACTTTTAAAACAAACTAATTTAAACATTTTACCAAAAAATTTGTACTGCATAATGAGTTGTGTGTGTTAGAGTGTCCCGACGAACTATCTTTTTAAAAACCTCATATAGGAGTGCCTCCCGTCCAATGCATATTAATGTACTGCTCAAAACAAATTTTTATTTTTAAAGGTACTCAGTTCTTTACTAGCGATTAATAATCCTTAGCAAATTTTGAACTGATTACGGAAAACATATGTTATGTTAAAATTTTGTTAGAGAATTTATAGTGGGTTTGAGAGTCATATTATTTTCATAGAGTCAAGATTGTCGAAATTTATAACGTATACAGAAAAATATAAATTATTTTTTTTTATTTTAATTATTTTTCCCGCGATAAGCTCAAAATTACGGAATTTTGAGACCTATTTCGTAAAACTGGATATTTTTTTTGCACTGGTAAGCACTGAGGCCTTTACCAAAGTGGTCCACGGGACACCCTAGTCTATATGTTGTTATAGTATGCATATTCATGTATATACATACATTTATACATATGTATGTTTGGATGTACATAAGCTAAAGTAAAAGTAAACATCATATTATTAAAACATCATATGCATGTTTAAACATGCCAAAAAAGAGGATAAACTATTTTCACTTCTTTAGTTGCGACCAAAAAATAGCAGCAACTAAATAAATATATGAACAAAGTACTTTTACAAACAATTTTGCAATTGAACTTTAATTGAATTTTTAGTATATAAGCTAAAACTTAACCAAAATTAGAATACTTGCATACATACATGAACATTTTTAAATAATTGATGATTTTATATAACAAAATATAAAGTTATACCGAGGAACTTTATATTAAGTTCAAAGATGTATTATAATGTATTACTTTGGCTTTTAATTCTTCTCATATTAGTCGCTTTTTATATAAAATTAATTTGCTAAGTTTTAATGAAATTTTTGTAAAAATTTTTAGTAAAGAATTTTTATGTGAAAATTTTTAGAAATTATTTTGTTTCTTATAGTAAAATATAAATATAACAAAGTCCTTGAAATACTTATAATCGAGTATTTGTAACATATCGCTCATTTACTACAATACTGGCTTAATAAATAAAAATTTAGGGTTTTTGAACTGCATAATAAAAAATATTTATCTAGTTAAAAAAAATTGTAAACAATATTTACGGTGTGAAAGGTATTTTTTGGTTTGTTTTACGAGTTAAAACTAAAATTACTGTTTTCACGAATAATTGTTAAGTAAAAATTAAATTTAAATTAACCTTTTCTATCGAAATCGTTTTCAAATCCAATAATTTCTTTAAGAAATTGTGAAATGAAATAAAACTTCATAAACGTTTTTTTCGAAACGTTCTTTTTTAGATTATGCCATCATATTGTTGGTAAAATAGTTTTGAAATTATTTTGTTTAAAAAAATACTACATTATTATTTAAAACTAGTTTAAAGTTTATTATATAAAATTAGTGATATTCGAATCATGATTTAAAAATTAAGTTCAATATTTTTAAAATAGGTTTTGAAGATTTTAAATATTTAATTTTACTGTTTGTA